ACACAATACACACTGGCAGAACAATAAAAGCCAACCTCCCAGATATTGTTATTAAAGACAAAAAAAAAATTGCCTTTATTATATGGCAGTACCTGCAGACTGCAATGTATCTTTGAAGATATTCAAAAAACTGTCAAAATACAAAGACCTTGAAACCGAAATCTCAAAAATGTAGCACGTGGGAGCATCAACAATCCCTGTTGTAGTTGGACCCTACGATTGGCTGGAAAAGAATTCAGTAGACTGATTGAAGGGATTCCTGGAAGTCCATGCCTCAAAGAATTGTTCTCACAAGTACAGCCCCCACTTTACAAAGGGCTTTATCTATGTATTTTTTTTTTTTTGGCAGCGGAAAGTGTCATGATGCCATTTCTAACCTTAGGTCTTTGGAAGGGACCCGGAAAGAAATGTGTACACGCCAGAAATCAAAGGAAATAATAATAATAATAATAATAATAATAATAATAATAATAATAATAATACACATTTAAAGAACAAAAAAAGCGTGAAATTTGGACAATTTATACAAGCTCTTGATTTGAATGTATAAAAACGGATTCGAAAAGAAGAAACAGACAATGACAGTCACAGAAGTTGTCGGCTGAGATTGATAAAACTTCTTACATTGAATTCATATTGCCTAAATATACATACACACAAACCATATATATGGATATATATATGGATATATATATATATGATATGTATATATATGTATGTGTGTGTGTGTGTGTGTGTGTGTGTGTGTGTGTGTGTGTGTGTGTGTAAATACTGTCATAAGTCATTTTAAGTTCACTGCGTAGTTGATGAAGCAAGTAATGCATTCTGAAAAAGGTTGACAATTTATATATATATATATATATATATATATATATATATATATATATATATATATATATATGTGTATATGTGTGTGTGTGTGTGTGTGTGCATAACAGCGCACTAAGAAAGGAATCGAGCCAGAGGCAGGAAATAAATAATGTAGGTAAGAATAAGTAAGAATCCATGTCTCGGCAAAATATTTCTATTATTGGTTCTGACATAAAAATCGATTTTCATGTTGGTTCTCCTCAGTCATTCGAAAATGAAAATTGTCGTTTGGCAGCGTGAGTAAAAGTGAATGGCCGGCTAAAGAAAATAAATAAAAATAATGAAAGTGTTTTCTATAAAATATGTGAGATAATTGTTTCACTCCCCTCCCTAAAAAATCCAAAAAATAAGCAAAAAGAAAAGTAAGTTTCTCAAAGAGGCAATATTAAAATCTTCCAATGTCCCAAAGATTTTGAAGTAGAACCGTTTTAGCAGAAGATTTCTAATATCTCATGCAAGAACAAAAATAAGTCACATAATATTTTTGAGATTACAGTGTATTAAATTATTCAAAGTCGTTCTTTCAAGAGGGATATTTTTCAAGAGCTTCGTTTACTGAAATAATGCTTCCTGATATTCCGTGAATATTTAATGCTATTCCGAACAAACCATAATGATACTTTTTTTCCATCTTCCTTGTAGCGTTTGTTGAAAACCGTGAAAATAATTGCAGTTGTGAATTTATCTGCGCCCATTCGTCCCATATTTGCACACACACTCAGCAGGAACTACGTTTCAATATCCATAAGATAGATGCCCGTCATTGCAAATAGAATCGAACAATTTAATAATAATGATATTTCTTTTATAGACACCCCTCTGATAATTTTGAATTCATAAAACAATTTCAAATTCCGGAGAGTGAACGGAACGTACGGCACTGAAATCCGAAGACGCATTGGGATTACGAAAGATGCCTTTCAAAAGCTAAACAAAGTATTAAGAAACAGCAAAAACTCATTAGAAAGAAAGAGAATAATACTATTACGTAATATCAGTACTCCTATACTGCAGTGAATACTGGAAAATATCGTCACAGATGAAGAAAAATCCTGAAGCAACAGAAATGTGGTTCTACAGAAGGATGTTGAGAATACCGTGCAATGAACATGTGAGGAATGGCGAAGACAAAAAGGATACTTATAGATAGCATCTGCGAATAGCAATTGGAATTTCTATAAAACATATAATGAGGAAAGAGTGCTTGGAAAATTTGATACTCAGAGGGCTGATTGAAGGTAAGAGGGACAGAGGAAAACAACGCAGATCCTCCCTAGTGAGGGTGTGTCAATGGATGGCAGAACAGGGTTTAGGAGAGATAACAGAAAGACAAGCATTTTTTTAAGTACTACAAAGGACAGGATATTGTGGAGAGACATGAACACGGCATAAAAAAGAAAATAGGTATATTTCTTTGGGTATATTCAGCATTCATTGTATTACCTTTTTCTTCGTTTCCTGCCTATTGCGCTGCGATCTGTTTAATGGTAATATTAGCTGTTCCATCGACCGAGTAGCTAGTACTATTTTTCTTCACTATATATCGAGCTGTGATCAAAGTGTAGTGTCCGCCTTTGTGTACATTTTCTCTCTCCACTGTGCTTAACAAAACACAAAAACATATATGAGAAATTCTTCGTTCCGGAGATTCCAAGCTTGTGGCAGCACCTCCTTCATAGCAGCAAAGACAGAGAGTTGGTAGAATATCGATGCCATCGCGACGTTGGTTGCGGGGACTTGGCAATTTTTGCCCTAGGCCCATGTGCACGTAGTCGGGCTCCCCATATTAAACCTGTCTTAGATATGTCAAACTTCCTGGTGGGGGAGTAAATAACAACTCTGTTATCGGTTCTTCTAGTCTGTAATAGTAGTAATAATAATATTAGTTGTTTCCTTATAAGGAAACATTCGCTATTCATTGACCAAGTATCACTGCTACAGTTAGCTGAAATTTATAAAATGTTTCTATTAAAATAATTTTGAAGGAAAATACGTTTCTGAATTTCACTATTATTGCTTTTTTTTTCCAGTGTTGATGGGGATTTATTTCTTAAACTTTGTTTTTCTATAGTGTAGAACATCAACGTCTTGCTATTATTTTATCCTCGAATTACATATGGCATCCATTTTAGATACCGCTGTCTTCATGCGATGCCATTTTCTTTATTTGGCACAGTTCTGTAGCGCCATTCTCTGAAGTTTCAAAAGAATTGTCCTTGTTAAAGCCTGCAGGTTTGTTTCACCCGAAGACATTTTTAATCATTGATCTTAGAAAACGGTTGTATACAGCTAACACTTTAGATATTTCTGAACAGGTCTCGCCCCATGTATGACATCCATATGAACGTCTCGATCCGACGAGGCTATTTCAAAACATGACACGAGTTTTGTAGCAATCTGCAAGGTTTGGCGAATCTACTATTAGGAAATGGGTCTTTCATTTAATAGACCTAGCATCCTGTTATTATTTTTATCTTCAAGTATAAAGTAATGTCAGATATAAATGCCAAATATTTGCTGACAGAGATAATATCGAGCAATTTATTTTTGAAAGTATTTTCAGGTAAATAATTCCAAGGATACTTCAAGCATCGTCTAAACAAGTGAATAGCTTTATTCTGGAAAGTGAAAACATACCAATATTCACTGGATAAGCATATTTTCATATAATTTGTTGCCCAACTCGCACGTTTATTTGTGGTGCTTATTTAAGTGACATATTTTGCTTAAACGTTTTTAGCCTTCTTTTGAATGATTTTAGGGATTCAAGTTCATCCTCGACCTCAAGTAGAACTCATATATACGAAACGTTACTAAAGATGGTTCAATGTGCCCCTGTTTACATTATTTGGCTCATAGCAAGCTATATCGCGTCCTGGGTATGACGATAAACTACATCCGCAGCAAAGCCTCTAATTGGAAGGTTTTGTGGAACTTGGAACCACCTCGTAATTGCTTTTGTTCCCATGTCCACACTGTCCAGTGGTGGTAACACCTATAAGGATCTCAGCTAAGGGCAAATAGTCAACCCCTAAACTGGGGTCAAAACACTATGAAAGTATAAAAATAGATTTTTATAGTAAAAATATCAGCAATATATTTTTGAAAATGAAAAAAATTCCAGCAATAGATTTTTAAAAAAATTATTACATATTCTATTCATAAGAAACTATGTTAGAAATTTTATCGGCATTAAATAACGCACGGTGGTTGATATGCCATAAGACAAAATAAATCAAACAAAGCCAAGCGATATCGTTACAAGTGTGAGAGCAGACCAAAAATGGAATATCTGGACTGGAGATGTACAATCCATTCTTTCCTGCCGTGAGAGAGATCAAAAGAATTTACACAGCCTTGTAGACGAAGACATATTTTCTACTCTACAGTTCATTTGCCATAGACGAAAATCTCCAAGCCTATCGCTATTTATATTTAAACATTCTGAGAAGTTACATTTATTTAATCCACCAGTTCAGACCTTTACACGTAAGACCCGTATACATCGTCGAATCGTTAGTCATAGCAGGCACTCTACTTGTTTTCAGTGACAAAATGAATGAAAGAAAGAAATAACTAAAGAAGATGTGTTATATAAGTCTTGAAGGTTTCCTGAAAATACCCCATAAATAATGATCGCGTGGAAAGGCGGAAAAGACATATCAGAAAAGCTACTTGTTTTCAGTAAGAAAATGAAAGAAAGAAGGAAAAGAAAAAGAAAAAAAACAAGTGTTTATCGTCTGTTTCAGTGAAATGAAAAAGTTTTCAATTGCAAATCTTTTCGTTTGTACTATTAAGTCGTAAAATAATGATGACTGGTAATCATATTTAATACTATTATTGCAATATTTTGTTAAAGGTACGAAGCGCAAATATTTAACGAGCCAATAGGGAAATTTCTGGGGATATTTTATTGTTGTAGAACTCGCTGTGTGCTTATTCGATCAATAACCATAATTAAGAGTCATCAGAAAAATAAAATAGGAAAATCGTGAAAGTTCCACGGATATTTCTAATCATTATAAATCGGTTTGTTACTTAGTCAGTTAGCGCGTACCTTACGTCCTGCCAATATGATGTAAATAATGAATAATTCCGTTTGATCAGAAGGAAAGACATATCGGAAAAACTGTTTCCAGTGAGCAAAAGAAAGAAAGAAAGAAAGAAAGAAAGAAAAAGAAAGAAAGAAAGAAAGAAAGAAAGGGAAAATACAAGAGACGATAACGTCTGTTTACATTAAAAATGAAAATAATAAAAAAAATGCTCCCGGCATGCATCAAAAAATGTTCGTGTAGGAAATACGGACATCCGCCAAAAGACATTAAATTCAATATCCTCACGACGAACCTTAGTAGAGTTAACACGTGTCTAAATTCCGTCTGTGATTTGGCTTGTAATACTACGGAGTAAACGTCTCTCTTTTATCACATGTACCATAAAACAAATGCAACCTCAAAAATACATACACCATGTACACAAAAATATAAATAAACTGTATGAAATTAACATACAATTCACCATGTTTTTCCAGTTATTTATGTACGTTTTATTTCCTGTCACGTATGCTTTTATCGCCGTGAACACGAGGCTAATTTCTACTGCTATGATATGAATGAATCCCAGACAAAACTTTGGTGACGGCAGGCGTGTATAAGAAAAGCGACCTATTCATTCGCAAGCTGTTTTATTGAACACACACCCAAGAGGATGCGCTCCGGTCTTAACCTCTTTAAACATGTAGTCAACCATTATGTTTCCTATATAATCTCATAATATCCCTCTCTAATTTCTTCCGCTTACGTTTATGTGATAGCATTATTCAGTAACCTTCTACCTTAATTGATACATGGTTTTTATTGGGGGATTAATTAGTAAAACACAAATTCGGACTAATGTCCTCATCTTGTTTATTATTACCAGACATTTTCGACCGCTGTACTCTCCTACCTGTTCCAGGTGCCTATAGATCCGAATGATTTCAGAATAAACACTTTATTTAATTTACTGCAGTAGATTGTTCTCGTCCATCCGTCTAAGCCTAGGGATATTTCATTTTACTCATTAATCGTTCACTTAATGCCGAGCCTGTTTCCACTGAGGCTGAGTATATTCGTACTACCCGGCCTAGAGATTGAACTCACAATTATTATGTCACTAAATGACCGAAACGTTGTGATCCTAACAACAAGGATAAGGATATTAGTTCGATAATGAATAATATAAATAATGATAGACTTACGGTCATATCACGTTGATACACCGATTCACGTGTGCTCACCGAAGTTAAGCAATGTCGAGTCAGGTCGATATCCAGATGGATGACTGCGTCGGAATTCAAGGGGGTTAAGTAAGGATATGCGCGTGGTGTAATAGATAACGGCTCTGGATGAGAAATCGGAGAAACGAGTTCGAATTCCAGTTGAATTTGTTACATGCCTTGACGCAAATAGACGGTATGCATTGGCTATTCATCCAAATTAAGAAAAGGTGATAAAAAAGTAAACGCGTTCTCCGCCTGCGGCAGAATACGCAATACACAATACTGATATTCTTACCCAAGACAGGAGCAGGCTTGATAGTAGGTAGGGGATTTCACCACTTCTGGTTTCCAACCAATGCTAGAGAACCCAGTTTTATTCTGGAGTGCGGAGAAAGCGATAGACTCATATATATATATATATATATATATATATATATATATATATATATATATATATATATATATGAATATGCATTTAGGCAACAACCCTAAACACCTTATAGACCACCAAATTAGACTAGTTCTCCCTAAAGTAAATAACA